TATGCGTATTTATTTTTTTTTTCCACTTCCCCTTCCCAACCAAAAAAAAAAAAAAAAAAAAAACATGATGTTCTAGCCTCATTTACTTTGTTATCAATATATGGCAGCCTCCTATTGTTACTTTTGTGGTATGGTTATGCCTTCCTAAAATATTCTAAATTCTCAGATGAGATACTTTTGTATACCCCTAATATTGTTGCTTTGCAGGTACGTGTTTGTGCTTTCCCTGCCAGTCGATTAGGATTGCAAGGAATTGGGATCAGTCCAGACTGTAATCCTGATGATAGGGCTACCCCTCGACAGGTAAACTGGTACCTGCGCATTTGAAAGATAACCTTTCCCTTGAGGATAAGATGACGAACTATTTGTTTCCTTCTACTTCAGCTTTTCAATTGGGCACTTGAGCCAGGAGAAGATGATGTTCTTGATCGGCTCTTTGAGCTCGGATATCAAGATGCAGCTGTATGGGCTAAGGACAACCCGGTTGGCGAAATAGTTGAAGACGACACTTCCTTGGTTGGTAGTGGCATAGATCAGTAGGCTGTCATTAGAGTCTCTCTTTGACCTTGAAGATGCATTAGGTTCTTGGTTACTGTCAATTACTGAGAATCCTGTTATGCCATTTTCACATACAGGTCAGACAGACTAGCTTTCCTATAGCATATACAGCCCTTGATTATAAAAGGGTGGAACCACATTCTCTTGATATAGTATTGCAATTGTATAGCAAGCTGTAAAATTTGTTGTAAGACCGTATGCGGAATAGGGAAAAGAAAAAAAAAATATAAGGTCATTGAAAATGCATTTACCAATAATGATCAATTCAGATTAGGTCCAGTTTTAGAGACCTTCTATCTCCAGACTTGTTCCTTTTGGTTTTAGTTTCGATTTCATTAGGCGGTACTCGTACTCTTTAAAATTCTGTGGCTGGTATTGGATTTCTTGATGGTGTCGTAGATTTGGGTGTTGTTTATGATTGTAATCTTTCCAATAGAGATGAATATAATCTTTGAGGTTAGGTATCTAACTCACAAGAAAGAAGCTGGATCTGAGAACATTTGATTTGAAGGATATTTCTTAGTTACACAAATCAGTTCCTGGGATACAAGACCCATTGCCTTATCCGTATTCTTAAATATAGTTGGAACAAGGAAAAGCATGGGTTATTACATGCTTGTAAATGAACTTTTCTTTTAAACTACATTGACACGAATTGCAAGGAGGTCTAACGTTACCTAAGTTCACTCAAAATTACAGTATTCAATATTATCATGTAACTTTTTCCCCTTCAACTAGCGACTGCTAGTATTTCCCAAACTTTTGATGATGATCCTTAATTATCAAACCTCAGAATACGGAAAATTTGTTTAACTTTCAATTAATGAGTACGGTCCAAAACGAAATGGAACATTTGAAGTTGTCTTGGTCCCACAAGCATGCATGCCCTTAAAGAAGTATTATTAGTGATCTTGATGAAACTATTTGACCCTGTTTTCAGCCATCTCTCAATCCCAAATTTCCTACCAAACCCTACTTTACCAGTACTTAATTATAAAAGTTGTATAAACATGATTCTTAATAAACACAAGTTTGAACCCATGAGTTGGTTGACCAAAGTAACTTGAACCAAAGTGGGAGACAAGGACAGCCCATTTTGCATCCTTTTTTTGCTGCAAAAGTCAAAAAAAGCATACGAGAAGCAAGCGCATGAGACCTCCATAGTAAAAATAAAGTCATACAGATACTGACTACTTTTTCAGTGTAAGATTAAACAGAAAGCACATATTTAAGCTTTGTATGGTTGCACCACAAAATAGCCTGTACAGTAAAATGAAAGGTAAAAATGAAAGGGTAGTCTTGTCATAAAGGTACAACCATAAACATCTGAGAGATCAAAAAGCAAGCACTTGTTGCATTCAATTCCAATTGAAAAATAGATCTAAGGATGAAGAAAAGAAAAGAAACGCCTACATTATGTATGTGTCCACACAGGTCATACAACACCATGCACGCTCATGCACCCACTTTCTAGAAAAAGCCAATCTCATTTCAAAAGAAGTCCTGACCAAAATATATATATACAAAAAGAGTCATTATGTAAATTCCACAACTGATCACCCTCTTATACCTATTTATTCTTCAAAATCTCTCTCTCTCTCTCTCTCTCTCTCTCTCTCTCTCTCTAGGGTTTCTCAGGGGCCTTGTTGCAGAGGCAATTTGGCATTCTGTCCACCTCCATATTCACAAGTGTACATATAGAAGAAGTTTCTTTCTTTTATTTTACAAGCTCTGGAGGTGGCCAGCATGTCAAACTGGCTCTGTAAATTTCTCTCTGAGAAACTCACATAGAACACTGGACAACCTTGGTAATATTCATGTTCAAAAACCCTTGACTTGTGTTGCTCTTGGTGTTTTTATTTTGTACTCTTCTCATGGATTTCTCCTCCCATATATTGCATGGCCAGGTGAGTTTTGAATAAATCATAATCATTCAGCAAGTCTTCCTTTACATATACATTATTTGTGGTTGGAAAACTAGTAATCATAATGAACTCTTGAATCATATTCCTGATTCACAGCTTTTGGCAGGTTGATCAGACTCGAGCTCCTCATCGTATACATTGTTCTGCCAAGCTCATTGATTTTTCTTACTATCAGTGGTTGTTAATTTGTTGCTTTTATAAATTAAGGCTTAATTTAGAGTAATTAAGGTTAGTTAGCTTACCATGTACACAAGTTTTTGGTTTGTTCTGTTGGTTTTGACAAACTTCTTTGCTTTTCTTTTTTACTTATTCGAAATATATTCTGGTAAACAACATATATTACGTGTTCTACTAGAGAATATATTAACATAATGGTCTTCTTCTACCAGATAAAAGAAAATGGTTCCAATTGAGAGCTATGGAGTCAAGTGTATGTCGATGGGACTTCTTGTGGCCAAGGATGCCTTACTTGTTTGGAGAGGCCCTATGGAATAATTTTTAAGTCTTTTCTTGCTTAAAGTAGTTTTTTTAATTTTATACAAAGCAATATTAAGTGGCAGGGAAGGGGAGGGGAATCGAACTAGGAAGCTCGGTATATGAATAAATGCTTTCAACCACTTGAGATATAAATCCGTTGCGTATTGTTTTTGTTTGAACGTACACCTATTGTATTAATTTTCTTGTGATTTATATCCTTTGTGCAAGTCAACCATTGACATGAAATTGGAAAAGCATAGAAATATCATTAAGTTATGTGTAGTGCGTGTATTTGTGTCTTTTTGGTAACCCTTTTTTTAACTTTTCTCTGGAAGCAATGATGATGGGATGGTGGGCTTTTCATGTCGAAAGAAACATATTGATGATCTGTGTTAGACAGGTGGTCGATTTTGATTGGCTTGGAGTAGTAGGTTTGTGGTTTCACATAGGATTCCAAGAAGCATATTAATGTTCTAAAAGGATATGCATATGGTACTACTGGAGACTACCATTTTTGGATAGGAACGTTTGCGATAGAGAGGTTAGAGATTTAATTCTTTTCACATCCATGCCACATTCAAATCCGCAGAGTACCCCCCCACTACCACCTCCTACTAATCAGTTGTATACAATCATGTGCTTATCTTTGTTTTTATTAGTTGCTTGATAAATGAGATAGACAAAGTAGTCGTATATAACCAAATTACACATCATAAGTTCTCAACCACTACTTAAAACAAAATTCCTAAGACATGTTAGTCCCTACCTTATTAAGAGTGTAACCACAAGGTCCCTACCATAGCTGCATTAGAAGCAAAATTCATACATGAACCAATACACAATTGCATTTGTAAGCTCGTTTTGTACTAGTGAAAATTATAGTCCTTGTTTCATTCAAGGCAGAGAAAAGAATAAATACTGAGCTAGTTCGAAGCTGCAAGCACAGGGATAACGAGGCAATGCAGAAGAAGAAGCCATGGGAAGTGCCAGCTACTATAACAGAATTGGCAATGGAGCTCAGAAACAAGAATGATGCAGGGCAAGGAGAAATTGAGTACTTCTTTCAATTTCCTTTTCAGCAAAAGGAAATACAAATCCCACACCAAAAGTTTAATTTCTACAGCTTTTATGAGAAAGAAATATGTATGTAAGGTACACAAATTCTGGGAGGGATTGATCAACAAAATGATATTGCATAAAAAAAAATTTGTTAATTATTGAAGACCTTGTAGCATGGCTTATGGTTCTATTTCCATGTCGCAGTCTCCTGGTATATCAACTGTAATCTTGAAACAAAAAACCGTAGAAAAGAATACCACCAGCATGTTTTGTTGAAGAACTAAATTATGATAAATAAAAAATTTAACTTGGAAAAACAGATTTCCTGTGTCTCAGCATTGCATCGCATACCTTTACAGCATCTACGTTATCTCTTACATTATGTACTCTTACAATATTTGCTCCGCCCAGAACTGCAGCAGTGACAGAAGCAACAGTAGCAGGATCTCTCTCAGTTCCAGCGGTGCGACTACAAATTTCACCTAAAAATTTCTTTCTGGAAGGTCCAATCAGTATAGGTGCATGAGACATGGCCAAACTTTCGCTCCCAATCTCTGCTTGAATATTTGGTAATCCCATCAAGATGTCCAAATTGTGATCACAGTTCTTTGAAAATCCAATTCCAGGGTCAATTATCATCCTCCAAGCTGGGATGCCTATTAATTCTGCTTCTCTCACCCTCGAGTATAACTCAGAAGCAACCTGCTTACAAACATTATCATATTTCAGGTTCTCACTATTCTGCATCGTAGATGGATCCCCCCTCATGTGCATTGCTATGTAGGGAACCTTAAGGCCTGCAACAACCCTCAACATGTTAGAGTCCAACAGCCCAGCAGATACATCATTCACAATATGTGCCCCTTTGCTTACTGCTTCTGCAGCAACTTCTGAATAAAATGTATCCACAGATATAATCTTTCCCTCTGCTTCAGGCATCCCAACAACTGCCTCTAAAACAGGGATTAGTCTATCCAATTCTTGTTGAACTGAAATCCTAGAAGCCATTGGCCTCGTTGACTGTGCACCAATATCAATCATATCTGCCCCTTCTGAAATCATTGAGCGAACTTGAGAAATTGCTGCCTCCACAGACTGAAACTTTCCTCCATCGCTAAAACTATCTGGGGTCAGATTAAGGATACCCATGACTGAAGTTTTAGTTGACCAGTCCCACAAGCCTTTTCCAATGGGCAAAACCCTCTTCAGGCCTTCCTTTCCAGTGAGTGTTTCACCACCCAATTTCTCCCAGGCATCAAAAAGCCCACCAGAATGCATTGAGAAAGAATGCCAACAAGCAACTGTATCACTGTCAATAGTTGACCCCAGTAAATCCATTAGTGGGGCTATTACAAACGGTCTTTCCCAAATTCTTTCATGGGGGACTGTAAGAATCTCAGAACTGACTCTTAACTTTCCATAGAACAATATATCCAAGTCAATTGGCCTGGGACCATACCTTATACCGTCAGTACGACCCATTTCTTTTTCAATTTTCTTCAGTGCTCCTAATAACTCATGAGGCCCAAGTTGTGTAACAGCTCTAACAGCAGAGTTGAGAAAATTAGGCTGATCAGTCACATAGGCTGGTGCTGTCTCATATAAACAACCATGTCTTGTGATGTGTATGCCTGATTTTCTCATTAACTGCAAAGCTTCATTGAAATTATGCAGTCTGTCACCCACATTGCTTCCTAAAGCAATCACTACTTCCTGATTTGGAGTATGAACTTCTACTGAGAAGTTTGGGGACGAATGTATGAAGGCAAAATATGATGCTGCATTGAACATGAAAACAAGTATAAGGAACCTAGCTCAGGTTAGTAACGTCCTCTATACTTGGAAAAGTAGTGATAAAAATTCCTACATTTTGCCCCATGGACTGCTTTTGTTGCTATGATACATGATCTCTTCACCATTGAAAAAGCTATAGAACTCTCAATTTACACAACTATCACCAAACCTTTGCATGTATTTTATGACTATAGCTCACAATTTATATGTATTCGATGGGAGACTAACAAAATTTAGGGTAGAATATCAAGTCCCTTCACCCTCACATCTGACTAACATAATTTAGGGTAGCATAGATGAAGTCCAAGTGACACTTGAATGGTGCTAATCCAAACAAGATAAACAAATTAAACAAATAAATACATATGAACTATGAACAAGGTTTTGATACCGCAAAGATTTGCAGGCAATTCAGATTTTAATCCAGATGACACAGCACAAATTCAATCAATGGTTCATTCAAATTTGCAATTTTTCCTTAGCAGGCATCATATTTAACGTTTTTAAATACCATGTATTAACATTATTATAGAATATCAAAACCGAGTGAATAGAAGGATTTACCTCGACAATACTTTGTGAAACCATCCAATTGCCTCATGGTGGGCATGAGGTTCTTGCATATATTCATGGTTGGACTTATGAGTCGCAGATCTTCAAAGCGCAGTTGAAATTATTATTTTGGGAAAATTATACCAATGCAGCATGAACTGTTTCAATCTGCTACCTGAAAAAAATAAATTTGTTCAAATAATATTGAAGCAATTTCCATCGCAACTAAAAATTTGTTGCAATGTGGCACCTACATATAACTCTGTCAAAAATTCTGTTGAAAATAGTCAATGTGCAAGCACATGCCTCATTTCAAAATTCAAAATACCACAAGATCAATTAAAAACAAAGCAAAGAGGAAAAGTATGCACTAATTTACCAAACTGTAAATTCATGTTGCAAGCCACACAACAAAATAACACTTACAAGACCAAAATTCCAAAACCACGTTGGAATATTCAACACTGAACTCTAACCAACTCTGTAATTCTTACCTCATAAACAAGAAGAAAGCCAAAAAAGATCCATATGAAGCCTAATCATAAACTAACATATATATAACAAACTGGGAATCATCAAACAACTATCTCAAGCCAGTGTAAGAAGCATAAAGGAGAACAATGGCGGTACCTGCTCTGCATCAGCAGTGGAGAATTTTCTTATCTTTTGGATTGAGGATGGAGTTGCTCATTTGCACATTTGGGTTCCCATGGTTCCCAAAATCCATAAACCCCTTTATTTCTAAATCGCGAAATTAGAAAGAAATACAGTAAAAAAAAATTAAATTAAAAGGAGAAAAAAAAACCCAAAAACCCAAAAATACAAACACAAACTTTTTCTCTATGAACTTGATAAAACAACAGAATTTAAAGAACTCAGAGGAAATCGAAGAACTTGAGCAAATAAGACCCAAATGTGAGCTGCCTGGGGGAGATACTTAAGCTGAAAAACAGTCAATATAACTCCACACACCAATGAGACCTTTGGGTTGAAAGAAAGAAGATGAGAAGCCACAGAGAGAGAACAGAAATGGCTTTTTGTGTCGCGGCCGTTTGTTTGTATGGCTGGCTGGTACGATATAGCAAGGGAAAGCTGAGCGTTTATTATAGGTAAATGATTTCCCCACTTTTATTTTATCCACTTACACTCCTTTTTTAGTTATAAAAATGGAGTGTAAGTGGATAAAATATGAGAAAAATTAGTGGGAAAATCACCACTCTTATTATATCATTTAGTTTTATTTTTGAGTTAATTACAATTTAAAACATATTAATCCATATCTTATCAATTTTTACAATAACATACCTCAGTCTTTTAAATTTGTTACAATATAGTTTCACCATTAGAGCAGTTCCATCGATCAGCCCTTGCCAGGGTAGAGGTAGGGATGGCAACGGGTCGGGTAGGGGCCGGGTATGACAATACCATCCTTGTCCTCGCTCTCCATCCCTGCCCTCGTCTCTGAACCAATCCCTGTTTAATAGGTTTCAGGGAATCCCGTCCCCGTCCCCACCCGGGGATACATTTTAACATTAAGTTTCATATTAATTTATCATCCAACACATCTAAATTAACTATAAAGTTTAACTCAACTATTCAAAATAACTTCAATATGAAATTCCAAAGAAAATCATGAAGAATTAGGAGAGGGAGGTTAACTTAAGGTTAAATATAAATATTATAATTATATATTTATTTATTTAAATATAAACATATCTATTTTTGGGTCGGGTTCGGGGATGGGGACGTCAATACCATCCCCTCCCCATACCCATCGGGAATTTTTCAAGTTCGGGGATCCTCATACCCGATACCCATTTGGCCATAAAATCTCCCCCTGTTAGGGTCGGGGACCCGTCCCTGCGGGAATTTTTGCCATCCCTAGGCAGAGGGGGCCTAAGCCCTAAAACGTGCTTCCAACATGCCAAAGCTGCCCGGGTAGCTTGTGGGTCCTATGAAACTGGGGTGGCTTGAAGGCAGAACGAGCCCATGCTCCAGCCCGAGGGCGAGCTGACGTCATGGCTGACGCTAGCCTAACATCAGCGTGTGGGTTTAAATTTTTTTACCTTTGGCCCGTAAAAGGTAAAAAAATTTAAATTCTGTGCGCTGCAGCTAGGCTAGCGTTAGCCCTTCTTTTCCACCAACGTCTAGAAGCCACGTGGCGGCCTCTGGGCTCTCCGATCCAGTTTTCTCCTCCAATCCAATGACTGCCCTTTTTTTGCACTAAAAATATGAAAAACAATCGAGAAAATATTTTTTCTATAAATACCTACCAATATTGTTTACTGTCAATACTAAATCCTCATACATTTGCTCCTCATTCTACTATTATTCACTTTCTACACAACATTTTATTCACTTTCAAATTTCATTTTTATTCATCATCTTATAGCATCTTCCATCGAAATGGGAGGGGCATGAAGCACCATGGAAGATGTTCTATTGTGTGAGTATTGGGTCCAAGTTGATCATTGTCCGAGATCACGAGCAATGAGATGAAATTCTCTCATATGTGGAGAAAATTTCATGCCGAATTTTGTGAAAGATTGAGTTTGGCTCGTACGGAAATGGCCTTGTTTAGTATATTGAAAATTTTGAATAAATAGTTGGGGAAATGGAGAGATGCATTGGCAAAAGCGAGGGACAACCATCGAAGAGGGGAAAATATTGGCAATAAGATAAATTATTTATAATTTCCGTTTTATTAATTTTAATGTCCTAATTTTTTTTTAAATGTTTCTTGCATTTCCAATATATTTTTGATGTTTCTTGCATTTCCAATATTTTTTTTAATGTTTCTTGCATTTCCCTTTTTTTTTTTTTTAATAGATTATGCAAGCACAAATATGGTTCAGTGCCATTAGGCAAGGCAAAAAATCTTTCAACCATGACCAATGTTGTGAGGTCATGAAAAATTGTGAGAGATTCAGAATTATTCCAACGGGTCCGACCGATGTGTTGAACGAGACACCACTCCATGATTCAATGACATCGGATTCGCCTTTGGATTCCCTGATGAGTTATGACTCACCAATCCAAAAAGAGTCGAGGCCTATTGGTCGAAAGGCGGCAAAGGCAAAGAGCGGGAGTACTTCCATCAATGATACTGCAAAATTTTTGAAGCAAATTGCAAGGAACGGCACTATGAGACTTGAATTAGACATGGAAAAAGATGCGGACAAGAAGGCAATGAATAAAGAATATGCAAGAGAAATGGAGTATATACGCAAACAAGACATTGACAAGAAGGATCAAGAAACCATGGCCATGGATACAAGCCATATGTCTCCCGAAACAAAACAATTTTGAAAGCTAGAACGAAGGGATGTTATGAGAAGAAGAATTTTCCATGACGATGGACCTAGCAACACCGATTGGTTAAATGATCACAACCATTAAGTTAGTTTGCTTGCCTTTTATTTAATTGTATTGCTTTTTTTTATATATTAAATTAGTCATAATTCTTGTCTTTTATTTCATTAGTAGTAATTCTTAATTAGTTGTATTGCTTTTGTTTGAGTGAATAAAGAAATCGTTCAATAAAATACCTTCAACACATTCCATACATCAAACAAAACATAATTAAAAAAACAACCACAGCCAAAGCATAATTAAAAAAAAACCACAATCAAAGCATAATTAAAAATAAAACATTAGCATAAAGCAAAATTAAAAACAAAGCAGCTCAACTTCACTTCATTCACCGTTATTACCTCTCACTGCCCATAAATGCTCCATCAAGTCAACTTGACGTCGTTCAGGAATATAAGACGATTGCATCTCCCTATATCGATCAATCATACAGTTCATGAAACAATCGTCATTGACCAACGGTTCATGTTCCAGTGGTTGTCTATTTGGGCCTATGGGCTTTTCATAAATTCTTGTCAAAGTCATGTTCATGGGATCCGGTTCAAACATGTCTGGAGCATCATAATCATACTCATCCTCCACAATCATGTTATGGAGCATGATGCAAGTCATCATAATGCTCCTCAGCTCACCATAATGCTCCTTAGCACCTCCTCATCAAACATAAGCGCAACACCCCTAATAATAGCCCACCAAGCTTGGAGGATACCAAAACACCTTTCGATATCTTTCCTGTAACCTTCTTGATAGACAGCAAATAATTTTTGCTTCTCAAATCGGGGATGCAGAATTGATTTCACAAATGTGGTCCACCTCGGGTAGATGTCGTCTGCTAGATAATACATATTCCAGTAGATGGTATCGTTGATTTCCTATGTGATATTCGGGGCTTCACCTCTCAAGACATCGTTGAAAATCGGGGATTGACCTATCATGTTCAAGTCATTTTAAGATCCGGCAACTCTGAAGAAGGCATCCCAAACGCATGTATCGAATCCAGCAACGGTTTTGAGGATGATATTTTTTTGCCCTTTCTTATTGCCATAATATCCTTGCCTTGCAGTTGGGCAATTCTTCCTTTGCTAGTACATACAATCGATGCTTCCAATCATGCATGGAAAACCTCGAGCTTTGGCTTTATGTAGAGGCATTTGGAGGTCCCTAAGTGTAGGTTTGCAGAGGTAGTCTTTGGTGTAGAGAGTTTCGATTGCATCACAGAACCTGGTCAAGCTCTCTAAAATTGTGGACTTCCCCATCCTTGCAATCTCATCCACCTGATCAGCAGATGAACCATGCACCAGCATTCGTATCACATCTGTAAGCTTTTGCTCCGGAAGAAGCCTCAAAACTCCAGTAGCATCACACTTCTAAATGAAGTATGCATTATAATTGCAAACGTCATGTATGACTTTATTGAACAAATGAGTTGCATTCTATATCGCTCTCGAAGATCAACATTAGAGTACACAAAATTTGGGATAAAGTAATCTTCCAAACATTTCTTACCCCAAGAATGCCTATGTTTGTCCACGTTAGGGCCACGACCAACTTGTGAACCACGGTGGCGGCCTTGGCTTGGTAGATCGAGCAAACCCACTGTCATGTCAACTTTTTTATCTTCTTCTTGCTGCACTCTTTTTTCTTTAGCTCTTCTACACATTCTTTCTTTAATTTCTCACTCTTACCTCTCCAAGCATCCCCTCATGGCTGATATTGAGAGTAGAGTATGAAATCTAAAATCTGATAAATGAAAAGATAGAGAAGATCTTGTGTGAGAGGTATGAGCTGACATGTGGTGCGATTTTAGAGGGTTAAAATCTTATCTGAAATCTAAGATTTATATTTTATAATAAATATCGACACGTGGCACCCGAGAATCTGATCCTAACATCTTATCTGAAATTTGAAATTTGAAATTTATAATAAATATCGACACGTGGCAATCGAAAATCTTTTCCGAAAATTTTATACAAATTCATTCGAATTATGAGATATGAATTTTATAATAAATATTGATAGTAGGAACCCAAAATCTTATCTGAAAATATTCTCCAAATTAATTGTTTAGGTAATAAAATAACGAAAAGTGAATAATATTGTCATTTGCCATGGCAATTGGTGGAAACACACATTGCTTTTTGCAAGGGCTGCCACTATTCACATGAATAGCATCTGCCCTTGCCTCCCCTTGCCTATGACAAATTGGTGGAAGTGCTCTTAGGTTTTTGTCAAATCTCTTCTTTAGTTGCCTACGTGGCACTATAAGCCCACATTTTAAATTTTTTTTTAAATATGAATAAAATATGAAATATTTACAAAATAAAACACACACTGACTCACTCACTCACTCTCTCTCTCTCTCTCTCTCTCTTCCTGCCCTCTTCCTCTATCCGATTTCTTCTCCCCTCATTTCCCAATGACCACCACCCAC